AACACAAGGCAATCATGGCCTTGTTGTTGACGTACAGAACTGGAGGAGAACAAGGCGCCTCTCCTAGGTCGGTCAGCATAACTCCTGTGCAGCCATGGCCCTTGCGTAGATCTCAGCCTAACAACTGGAGCTCAGAACAAAAGACGAGCGAGTAGACCGCCACGAAATAGAGCCGGAACCAAGGCTGAAGGTGTAGCCCTGTTACGACCGCTGAGTAGCCAAGTCATCAACCCAAGAAGCGTCTGCGCGACCAATGACCCAAGCACGAGCCCCATGCCCGACGTACTGCACAAGTGGTCCATCACCCTCTTAGTGGCCTTCTAGTGCTTTGGTCGGTGTCTCCCGGGCGCAACGTAGCGTGCCAGGATGCTAAGAGGGTAAGCAAGGTCAGGTCGAGTGCAGGTCATTACGTACATGAGGCAACCCACAAGCTCTGGATATGGGCCACTTGACTCTACGGACTCATCTGAAGGCAGAGTTCAGAGCGAGTGACCAGTAGGCAGAGGAGTGGCCAGTGGCGAGGAGTACTGGAAGTCGAAGCGCTGAAGGACCTGCTGCACCATGTGTGACTGAGTCAAGGTAATGGTGCACCGTGCTTTGTCCCGTGTAATCTGCAAGCCAAGATAGCAGCGTAGCTCACCTAGGTCTGTGCATGTGTGTCTCTTCTATAGCTCCGACTTCACTAGAGTCAGTGCCTCAGTGTCAGCAGTAGCAAAAACCAAGTCGTCGACGTACACGAGGATGTAGAACGGCAGCAGGGAAGGGTCGGTGCGTAGAAAGAGCGACGCAAAGAGGGAGCAAAGCCAAGAGCCGCAAGGGTCGTCCTCAGTGTGTCGTGCCACTCGCAAGGCGCCTAACGGAGACTGTAGACTGGCCGCCGGAGGCTCGATTGGTTACCAGGAGGGAACGACCCAGTCAAGCCAGGTGGGCGGCGCAGCCAGATCTCCTCGTGCAGGCTGCCCTGTAGGAAAGCAGTGCTGAAGTCAAGAGAGTGAAGCTCGTAGTCACGATAAGCGGCGACGTGCAGCAGCACCCGAAGAGTGGTCATCTTCGGGGTAGGGGAGAAGGTCTGGAAGAAGTCAACTCCCTGTCGCAGACTGAAGCCTCGTGCAACGTAACGCGCCTTGAAGATAGGCGGAGAACCCGGCGGCCGCTTCATCCTGAAAATCCACATGCCACTGACGATGTTCGCCCCAGGTGAGGGAACCTCGTCGACATAAGTGCCTGTGGACTTCCAAGATGTTATCTCTGCGTCCATAGCTGACTGCCACTGAGAGGAATAGGGACCCTCTATCGCCTCTGCGTAAGAGCGCATGGTCGGGATGTCTGGTGCATCCGGGTCTCCCTCAGGTGCAATCAGCATAGAGACGAGATAAGGTACGGCGGCTGCAAAGCACTCAAAGTCCTCGTGCCTGTCCTCAAGGACGTCCGTGCCAAGAGCACACTCACCCCGGACAGACGGAGGACAGACAGACTCAGAGTCAGCAACAAGACTAGTGGCGCAGTCTAGACGACAGTGAGCAGCAAAGTCGACAAGCTCAGCAACTAAGGCAGACGCAGCAGTGGACTCAAAGGAAGGGTCAGTGACAAGAGTGGCCAGGAGGCGCATGACAGTAGGACTACCAGCATGAACGGAGTCAGACTTTGGGTCCGGAGGGTCAGCAAGGGAGGACGCAAGAGGAGACGGCAGAGGGACACGCAGTGGAATAGAGGAAGGACGAAGTGCCATCTCGTCCGTGCGGAGGACAGGAGGAGGACGCGGACGCCGAACACGACGACCAGTGCGACCAGCGCGAACAGGTGACGCAGGACGAGACGCAGGCTCACGACGCTCAGTAAGACCTCCGAGCTGCCCAGTATAAGGAGAAGGAGCAGTCAGCGGATAAGCTTACAGTAGCTGTGGCTGGGACTGGTCAGGCGGTAGACAAAGGAACGGAGGAGCAAGGTTAGTAGAAGGCGGGAGCCCAAGAACCTGCTGAAGTAGTGGAACGAAGTACGGTCTCGGTCACACCGCACCTCCAGCACCAGCACCAACAGCACCAGTACCTCCAACAGCTCCAGCTCCAGCAGCAACTCCAGCTCCAGCTCTAGAAGCACCCCCAACTCCAGCAGCTCGAGTACCTCCAGCAGCTCCACCTCCTGCTCCTCTAGTAGCTCCTGCTCCTGCAGCTCCTCCAGCTCTAGTAGTTCCAGCACTGCCAGCAGCTCCTGCTCTAGTAGCACCTCCTGTAGCTCGAGCTCTAGCAACACCAGTAGTACCTCCAGCCCAAGCAGCTCCAGTACCCCCTGTACGAGCACCTCCGGGACTAGCGGCTCCAGCACCTCCAGCTCCACCCGCACCACTTCGGGGGCTTTAGCGCCGAGCAAACCACTCGCGCAGCTACAGTGGAGAGAGAGACTCCGGCTGCAACAAGACACCCGAAGGGCCCCTAGGCTTAGCACACTCGGGCTCAGCACCCCCAGGCTTAGCACCTCCAGGCTCCACACGCTCAGGCTCAGCACCCCCAGGCTCCGCACCCGCAAGCTCAGCACCCCCAAGCTCCGCACCTTCAGACTCAGCACCCCCAGGCTCAAAACCCCCAGGCTCCGCACGCTCAAGCTCGGGACCCCCAGGCCCCGCACCCGCAGGCTCACCACCCACAGACGCAACACCTCTAGCAGCACCAGAGACCACAGCTACCTCGACAAGCTCGACAGGGTCTACCTGGGACATACCTGAGGGAGCAGGACCTTGAGGGGGGAGGGGGACTACTGGAGGAGGACCTGGTGCTAGGAAGAGCGGCGGAGGAGGGAGAGGGGCAGTGCGGTAGGGGAAGAGACGGTAAAATAGAACCGACTCGTGAAACGTGACGTCCTGAGAGGGCAGGATATGGCGCGAGGTGGGGTGGTAAAACTGCCAGCCAGGCATGTCAGGGACAAAGTCAAGGAAGACACAGGGAACGGCGCGGGAGGAGAGCTTATCCGCGGACGTATCGTAGGCAAAGGCTTGACATCCCCAGACTCGGAACACCGTCGCATCGCCAACCTCCCTCATCCAACGCAGTGTGGGCGAGGTCTCCGGCAAGGAGACACGGGGCTAGAGGTTGAGCTGATGCGCAGCGTACACGACTACAAACGGCCACAGAAAATGGGGGGCAGCCGCATGGATCATGGAGGTACGAGCAGCCTCCATGAGTAAGCCAATGCGGCGCTCAGCAACCCCATTCTGCTATGGAGAGGCCGGAAGCGTGAGCGTCTGGCGAATGCCCTCCGCACGACAAAAGGCCCGCAAGAGGTCGAAGGAAAACTCCCCACATCTGTCAGAGTGCAAACGAAGGACTGGAAGGTCCGTCTCGAACCCCTCGCGGAGCTGGAGACAAACAGTGCGGATCCAAGGGATCAGCCTTGTACTCCTGCCTACTGATAGTTCACATATTCTCGTTCGTACTTGTGACATGGTTTCAGAGCAGGTCCTAGCCTAGGACCGTTTTTTTAGGGCCCACCAAGTAGCGCTGTTCCACCCGTCGCGCCGCCGTGTTAGCGCCGTGCTGCCTTGCCCTGCCCTGCACTGCGCTGCCTGTGCATGCCCTGCCGTGACCTGCCGGCGCGCACGCCGTGCCGCCTTGCCCGCAGCAGCACGCCCTGCCTTGCCCGCGCTCTGCCCACAGTAGCGCACCCTGCCTTGCCGACACATCGCCCATCGCTGCGCGCCCTGTGCTGCCCGTGCGCTGCCTTACGCAGCGCGCCCTGCCTTGCCCGCGTGCCGCCCGCTACAACGCGCCCTGCCCTACCCGCGTGCCGCCCACAGTAGCGCGCCCTGCCCTGCCCGCGCGCCGCCTGCTGCCGCGCGCCCTGTGCTGCCCGCGCGCTACCTGCCGTAGCGCACCTTGCCTTGCCCGCGTGCCGCCTGCTGTAGTGCGCCCTGCCCTGCCCGCGCGCTGCCAGCTGCCGCGCGCCCTGTGCTGCCCGCGCGCCGCCCGTCGCCGCACGGTCTGCCTTGCCCGCACGCCGCCCATCGTCGCGCGCCCTGTGCTGCCCACTCGTTGCCCGCCGCAGCACGTCTGCCCTGCCTGCCCGCCGCCCGCCGCAGGGCGCCCTGCCCTACCCGCGCGCCGCCCGTCGCTGCCGTGTGCCTTGTGCTGCCCGCGCGCTGCCCACTACAGCACGCTCTGCCCTACCTGCGCGCCGCCTAGTGCCGCGCGCATTGCTCTGCCCGCGCATTGCCCGCTGCCGCACGTCCTGTGCTGCCTTCGCACCGCCCGTCGCAACGTGCCCTGCCCTGTCCGAGCGCCGCCACGCACCTTGCCTTACATGCGCTCCGCTCGCCACTCCGCCGCCCTGCCCTGCTAGCTGCCGCCCTGGTTTGCCCTGCCTACGTGCTACTCTGCTACGAGCGCGCCCGCCTACTGTGCCCGCCATGGCCATGCTCAGTGTTCTCTCCTTTGATCCGGAAGGCCGCCCGACAGAGTTTGACGCTGCGCTCGACGACTTTCAGCTGTACTTACTGAGCAATTCCAAGGACGGTGTTTCACTGTTGGACCTCACGTCCGGCGCCTCTCCCACCCCTGCCACCACAGCTGACAGTGTAGCTTGCTCCCAGTGGCTTACTCGTGATGCTGCTGCTCACCTAGCCGTTTGCAACCACCTGCCGTTAGCCGAACGCGCTCACTTCGGACAGCACAAGACTGCAAAAGCACTGTACAACGATGTAGTCGATCGTTACTCCTCCCCGGCCATTGCTGCCTTAGGCCGCCTTCTCCTGCCTTACATGTACCCAGAGCTGTCCGCCTTTGCCAGAGTAGTCGACCTCGTCACTCACCTTCGCACTAGTGACACTCGCTACCATGTTGCGCTTCCCGCCGAGTTTCTCACGAAGAACCCTCCTCCCATGTACATCACTCTCCACTTCATAGTCACCCGCCTCCCTGAATCTCTTAGCGCTGCCAAGGACCTCCTTCTCGCCATTGACCCCACCAACCTCGCTGTTGACCTGCTCAAGAAGCACCTCCTTGCAGCTGATACTAGCATAGTCGCTGTAGGCGCTTCTCGTGGCACTCCTCGCATTCCCTTCTTTGAGGGGTGTTCGCCCTCCCCCCTTTCTCCCCTCCGTTGCCTCTACTGCGGCTGTTGACTACCTTCGTGCTGAGGAGGTAGGAGTTGCGTCCGCCCCTAGTGGGAGGCGCCGCAGCGGCAGGGGCAGGGGAAGTAGGGGCGGTGGGGGCGGAAGAGGTGGAGGCGGTGGTGGGGGCGGTGGAGGCGGTGGAGGGGGCGGCGGTGGCGGAGGGAGTGGTGATGGGGGTGGAGTTGTAGGTGGCGGCGGTGGTGGCGGTAGTGGCGGCAGTGCCGGCGGCATTGGTGGCGGCACTGGGAGTGGAGGTGGTGGCAGTGGTGGCGGCCAGGGTGGTACCAGTCAGAGGGGAGGCCTTGGCGGTGGTCACGGGCAGCAGCAGCAGCGTCATCTTTCCCCCTAGGAGATATGTGAGTGGTTTGCTCAGTGTGGGGCGGCTGGGGGTAGTAGTCCCTGCCCGTATGTCATTTGCACAGGTGACCGCACTGGTCAGACATGCGAGAAGCTCCACACCCAGTACCGCTGCCTCTCTCATCTTAGCGACGCCTTCCGCATAGAGTTTCCCGACGCGGCTGAGCTCCTCCGCTGGGCAGAGCTGCTTAGGCAGGGTGTAGACATCTTTGCTCTTCATTATGATGCTATTCTTTCTGCCAGGTATGCCTTGACTGTTAGTGCTAAGGGTGACTGTTACTTGTGTATGCCGCCAGACCCAGGTATAGAGGCTGCTCCTCTAGGTGCTAGTGAGTCTGCTGCTCTAGGTGCTGGTGAGTCTGCTCTATCTGGTACCGCATCTGCTGCAGCCTTCCACACCTTCACGCTTGACTCAGATGCTTCAGCCTTTCGCGACAGATGTATAGTCACGCCGCTCTCTGCACCTGTTGCTGTCTCTCTAGCTGACCCCTCTGGGGGCCCAGACCTTGCAAGTTCCTCCATCGTTCTACATTGTCCAGCGGTTCTGTCTAGCTTACTCTCAGGTCTCCACCTCCCCTCATTCTCTACAAACTTGGTGAGCAACGCCATCCTTCAGGATCAGTGGGTTGATACCTTCACGCCGGCTCCTGGACTAGCAGGCACCAGGCCACGTTCACCCGTCGGCCTAGGTCAGGTCTATATGACGAGAAGTGAGAATGGATGCATGAACTATGAAAGAGTTGGGTACAAGTACTAACCCTAATTGGGTTGTACCCCTTATGGGCTACCCCAGTACAGCCTACACAAACGTATTAGCTATAATGTTCTAACACACCCCCATAGGCAAAGTGGGGGAGAACAAGAGGTCACAAGACCAGTCAAGCAAAGCAAAGCAAGCTCAAGGTGGATCACAACGTCACCACACAGTCCGAGCACAAGAGCAAGGCCAGAAGGCCAGTTCACATGCAAGATCATATATAAAGGTAAACAAGCAAGTGCAGGTATAGAAAGATCACAATACAAGCAAGGTCAAGAAGTGAGCAAGTGAGGCCAAGTAGGCACAAGACCTAGCATCGTACAGAAACGCTGATGATATCAGCACTGTTGGCCTCAGAGGCCACATAAGCAAGGCGCAGCTGACCACGCTGCTGCAGCTCACGAGCAAGGAAGTAGCGAAGAGAAATGTGCTTCGTTCTGTGCTCTAGTCTGTGCTCACGACACAAGGCCAGCATGGCCTTGTTGTCTACGTACAGAACTGGAGGAGAACGAGGCACCTCTCCTAGGTCAGTTAGCAGGTAGGTGAGTGAGCGTAACTCCTGTGCAGCCATGGCCCCCGCGCAGATCTCGGCCTCACAGCTGGAGCCGAGAACAGAAGACGAGCGGGTAGACCGCCATGAAACAGAGCCGGAACCAAGGCTGAAGGTGTAACCCTGTGACGACTGCTGCGTAGCCTGGTCGTCAGCCGAAGAAGCGTCTGCGTGAACTGTGAGGACCACTCGACGTCGCCCTCCAAGCACTAGCCCCATGCCCGACGTACTGCACAAGTAGCGCAACACCCTCTCCACTGCAGCCATGTGCTCTGGTCGGTGTCTCCCAGGAGCAACATAGCGTGCCAAGATGCTAAGAGGGTATGCAAGGTCAGGTCGTGTGCAGGTCATCAGGTACATGAGGCAGCCAACAAGCTCTGGGTATGGGCCACTCGGCTCTACGGACTCATCCGAAGGCAGAGCTGAGAGCGAGTGGCGAGTAGACAGAGGAGTGGCCTGAGGCGAGGAGTACGTGAAGTCGAAGCGCTGAAGGACCTGCTGCACCATGTGTGACTGAGTCAGGGTAATTGTGCGCTGTGCTCTGTCCCAGGTGATCTGCAAGCCAAGGTAGCTGCGCAGCTCACCCAGGTCTGCGCACGTGTGTCTCTTCTGTAGCTCGGACTTCACGTGGGCGAGTCCAGCAGTGTCAGTAGTGGCAAAGACGTACACGAGGATGTAGAACGGCGGCAAAGAAGTGTCGATGCGTAGAAACAGCGATGGGTCGGCTGTAGAAGGGGCAAACCCAAGAGCCGCAAGTGTAGTCCTCAGTGTGTCGTGCCACTCACGAGGCACCTGGCGGAGACTGTAGACTGGCCGCCGGAGTCTCCATCGGGTACCATGAGGAAACGACCCAGTGAAGCCAGGAGGGCGGCGCAGCCCGATCTCCTTGTGTAGGCTGCCCTGCAGGAAAGCTGTGCTGAAGTCAAAAGAGTGAAGCTCGTAGTGGCGTTGGGCGGCTGTGTGCAGCAGCACCACAAGAGTAGTCATCTTCGGGGTGGGAGAGAAGGTCTGAAAGTAGTCAACTCCCTGCCGCTGACTGAAGACTCGAGCCACGTAACGCGCCTTGAAGACAGGCGGAGAGGCCGGCGGCCGCTTCACCCTGAAAATCCACATGCCACTGACGATGTTCGCCCCAGGTGTGGGAACCTCGTCTACGTAGGTGCCTGTGGACTTCCAGGAAGCCATCTCCTGGGTGAAGGTGTGGGAGGCCTGAGCCGACGTAGTACCTGAGAGAGCAGACTCACCAGCACTTGGGGCGGCAGACGCACTGGCACGTGGGGAAGCAGACGCACTAGCACCTAGAGCAGCAGCCTCACCAGCACCTAGAGCAGCAGCCTCAATGCCTGGGTTAGGCGGTACATACAGGTAACAGTCACTAGCAACACTAGTATCAATAGCATACATGGCAGCAAGGATAGCATCAAAGTCAAGATCAAAGATAGCAAACCCGGCCTTAGCCAGATCTCCCCAGCGAGGGATCTCTGACGCCTAAGGGAACTGGCGATGCCACGCGTCCAGCAGGCGACCAAAGCAGCGCTGGGTGGAGTGCGGGCCTCCGCACTGCTCACCAGTGCGGTCACCGGTACGGAGAACGTAAGAGCAGGGACCAAAACCCCCACCGTGCTGGCGCGCAGTGTACCACTCACGAAGCTGCTAAGGGGACAGTGTCACACCACTCCGTTGCTGCTGCTGGCGCTGACCACCACCGGCGCCACTCTTCTGCGGAGAGTCGCGACTCGCTCCACCACCGCCGCCTCTGCCGCCTCCGCCGCCTCCGCCACCTCCGCCACCTCCGTCGCCTCCTCCACCTCCGCCTCCTCCACTACCTCCGCCGCCTCCACTCCCTCCGCCACCTCCACCGCCTCCACCGCCTCCACTGCTGCCGCCACCGCCGCCACCCCAGGCACCACTCCCACCACCACCCCCACTCCCTCCACTGCCTCCACCACCACCTCCACCGCCCCCTTCAGCCCCTCCAGTGCCCTTGCCCCCCTTGCCCTTGCCGGTGCGGCGTCTCCCGCTTGGGGCAGACGCAGCGCCAACCGATTCGAAACCAACGAGGCCGGCCGCAGCAGCAGAGGCATTAGAGGGCAAGAGGAGGGAGTGAGAACACCCCTCAAAGACGGGGGTGCGAGGGTCACCACAAGAGGCTCCTACAGCAACTATGCTCTTCTCTATCGCTAGGAGGGCCTTCTCGAGGAGGTCAACGGTGAGAGTGGTGGGGCAAACAGAGAAGAAGTGGTCCTTCACTACCCGAAGAGAGTCACGGAGCCGGGTGACTATGTAGTAGAGGGCGATGTACATGGGGGGGGGATTCTTGGCGCAGAATTCAGCATGAAGCGCAGTGCGGTAGCGAGTGTCACTAGTGCGGAGGTGCGTAATGAGGTCAGCGATAGTGGGAAAGGTAGCAAGGTCAGGGAAGAGGTACGGTAGCATGAGGCAGCTCAGTGCAGCAGTGGCAGGGGAAGAGTAGCGTGCAACTACATTGTCGTACAAGGTCTGAACACTCTTGTACTGGCTAAATTGTGCACGCTTAGTGGTTGGTAAGTGGCGGCGCACAGCAAGGCGAGCAGCAGCATCACGTGTGGCCCACTGTGAGCGGACAGTGGCATCAGCATCAGCAGCAGGGGCAGGGGAGGCACCAGAAGTGAGGTCAAACAGGGAGAGGCCGTCTGCCCTATCGCACTGCAGGAAAAGTTGCAGATCATCTACCCAGACCTCAAAGTCCACTGCCCGACCCTCAGCGTCAAAGGTGAGAACGCTAGGGGAGGCCATTACAGCAGTAGGCAGGCAGTGAGTACAGTAGGGCAGGGCAGTGGAGTGGCAGAGACTATGCTCTTACCAGGCAAGTGGGGCGATCGGGCTGCTCGGTGGCTCGGCTGCACGGTGCTGGGCGACTCGGCTGTTGGGCGGCTTGGCTGCTGGGCAGCTCGGCTGCACGGTGCTGGGCGGCTCGGCTGTCGGGCGGCTCGGCTGCTGGGCGGCTCGGTTGCTGGGCGGCTCGGTTGCTGGGCGGCTCGGCTGCTGGGGGGCTCGGCTGCTGGGTGGCTCGGCGGTCGGGTGGCTCGGTTGCTGGGCGGCTCGGCGGTCGGGCGGCTCAGCTGGCCGGCGGTTCGGCTGGTGGGCGCTCCGGGCGTTGGGCACAGGTGGTGGCGAGGCCGTAGGTGGCGGCGGGGCCTTAGGTGGCGGCGGGCCGCAAGGGTGGGCGGTGCCGCAGTGGGCGGCGGGGCCACAGTGGGCGACGGGGCCGCAAGGGTGGGCGGGGCCGCAGGTGGCGACGTGGCCGCAGTGGGCAATGGGGCCGCAAGGGTGGGCGGGGCCGCAGGTGGCGACGTGGTCGCAGTGGGCGTCTGGGCCGGAGGAGGCGACGGGGCCGTATAGGGGCCGTTGAGGGGCCGTAAAGGGGCCGTAGCAGGGCCATAAAGGGGCCGTAGCAGGGCCGTAGCGGGGCCGTTGAGGGGCCTGGGCAGGGCCGCGGAGGGGCCTAGGCAGGGCCGCAAAGGGGCCGTAAGGGGCCAGAGAGGGCTGCGAAGGGGGCCTAGGCGGGGCCGCGAAGTGGCCGGAAGGGGCCGTAAGAGGCCAGACGGGGCCTAAGCGGGGCCGCGGAGGGGCCGTAAGGGGCCTTGGTGAGGCCGTAAGGGGCACGACAGGGCCGCGGAGGGGCCTAAGCGGGGCCGCAACGAGGCCGTAAGGGGCCAAAGCGGGGCTGCTACGGGGCCGTAAGGGGCCTAAGCGGGGCCGCGACGGGGCTATGAGGGTCCTAAGCGGGGCTGCGACGGGGTCGTAAGGGGCCTAAGCGGGGCCGCGGCGGGGTCGTTAGGGGCCAGACGGGGCCGTAGAAGGCCGCACGAGGGGCCGTAAGGGCGGCCAACGGGGGCCACTAAGGCGGCTCGAGGCGCTACTCGGGTTAGGAGCGAAGCGCGCTCCGGGGAGGGAAGAAAGAAAAGGTTTGTGGTGGGCCCTAGGCAGTATTCCCACTCGGGAACCTGCTCGATACCATGACGAGAAGTGAGAATGGATGAATGAACTATGAAACAGTTGGGTACAAGTACTAACCCTAATTAGGTTGTACCCCTTATGGGCTACCCCACTACAGCGTACACAAACGTATAAGCTATAATGTTCTGACACTATACACACTGACTACTGCGCCTCCTCAGGTAGGTGCGTCTGCGTCTCCATTAGGTCAGCTAGCGGCCCCCTACTCTTGTCGCGCCCTGTCCCACCAGACGCTCCTCTGGCACCACCACCTAGGTCACCCCTCCGTTTCACGCCTCCGTGGCATGCACTCCCGTCTCCTTGTCTCTGGCCTTCCCAGGTCTTTGCCTCCCCTCCCACCCTCGCCTGCCCCTCCCTACCTTCCCTGTGTCGAGGGGCGGCAGCGTCCCGCTCCTCACTCCTCCTCGTTCCCCCCGACAACTGCTCCCCTGCAAACTCTCCACCTGGACGTGTGGGGCCCAGCCCGCGTCAATGGACAGGACCACGAGCGGTACTTTCTGCTGGTTGTCGACGACTACACGCGTTGCACCTCGGTCTTCCCATTGTGCCGCAATTGGAGGTCCCTGATGTTCTGATCTCTTGGACCCTCGCTGTTCGTCTCCAGCTCCGCGAGCGGTTCGACGGACCTTCCCGTCCTGCGTCTGCACTTTGACAGAGGTGGTGAGTTTTCCTCCGACCTCTTGAGGGACTTGTGTTGTGGGGAGGGCATTCGCTAGACGTTCACACTTCCGGCCTCTTTGCAGCAGAATGGGGTCGCTGAGTGCCGCATTGGCTAAGTCATGGAGGTTGATCGTACCTCCATGATCCATGCGGCTGCCCCCCATTTTCTATGGTCGTTTGCGGCCCGCTACGCTGCGCATCAATTCAACCTCTGGCCCCATGTCTCCTTGCCGGAGACCTCGCCGACACTGTGTTGGACGGGAGAGATTGGTGATGCATCAATGTTTTGGGTCTGGGGATGTCGTGCTTTTGTCCGCGATACTTCCGCGGACAAGCTCTCCTCCCGCCCATCTCGCGCCGTGTCCTGCCCTCTCGGGACGTTACGTTTGATGAGTCGGTTCCCTTTACCGTCTCTTCCCCTACCGCACTGCCCCTCTCCCTCCCTCGCCGCTCTTCCTTGCACCAGGTCCTCCTTTGGTAGACCCCTTCCCCCCTCAGGGTCTTGCTCCCTCAAGTGTGTCCCAATAGACCCCGTCAAGCCTGTCGAGGTGGCTGTTGATTCTAGTGCTGCTCGGGGTACTGCGTATGGGGGTGTTGAGCTTGCAGGTGTGGGGCCTGGGGGTGCTGGACTTGAGTGGGTGGAGCCTGGGGGTGTGAGCTTGAGCGTGCTGAGCCTGGGGTTGCTGGGCCTGAGTGTGTGGAGCCTGGGGGTGCTGAGCTTGAGCGTGCGGAGCTTTGGGGTGCTGAGCCTGGGGCTGCTAAGTCTGAGGGTACGGAGCCTGGGGGTGCTGAGCCTGAGCGTGCGGAGCTTGGGGGTGCTGAGCCTGAGCGTGCGGAGCTTGGGGGTGCTGAGCGTGAGAGTGTTGAGCCTGGGGTTGCTGTGCCTGGGGGTGCTGAGCCCGAGCGTGCTGAGCCTGGAGGTCCTACGGGTGTCTTGGCTCGGCGGGAGCCCCTCTCTCCACTGCAGCTACGCGAGTTGCTCGGCGCTGGAGCCTCCGGAGTGGTGCTGCTGGAGCTGACGGGCCTGCCGCTAGAGGCCCTGGAGTTGGAGGTGCTACGGGTACTAGAGCAACTGGAGCTGGAGGTGCTGCTGGAGCTGGAGGTGTTGTTGGAGCTAGAGGTGCTGCTGGAGCTGAAGCTGCTGGAGGTGCTGGAGCCTCTTGTCCCGGAGGTGCTCGTAGTGGAGGTACTCGAGCTGGAGGTGATGCGGGAGTTGGAGTTGGAGCCGCTGGAGCTGGAGCTGCTGGAGGTACTGGAGATGCTGGAGCTGGTAGTGCTGCAGGTGCTGGAGCTAGAGACCCTGGAGCGGGAGGTGCTGGCTCTGGGGGCGTGCCGCTGCTGCTGGTTCTAGAGGCGCTGTGCGGCAGCGACCGTACTTTGTTCCTCTTCTTTAACAGGTTCTTGATGTCCCGCCTTCTATTGGCCTTACCCCTCCCGTACTGTGTCCACAGCCAGACCAGTCCCATCCGCAGTTACAGCCAGCCTCCCCATTGCCTGCTCCTGCTCCCTACACAGAGCAGCCGTGAGGTCTAATAGAGCATCGTGAGCCTGCGTCTCGTCCTGCGTCGCATGTCCGCGCTGTGCGTACTGGTCATCGTGTTCCCCGTAAGTGTCCTCCTCCTATCTCCGGCACGCACCAGATGGCACTTCGTCCTTCTTTTGTTCCACTGCGTGTCCCTCTGCCTTCTCCTCCTGCGTCCTCTCTTGCTGACGGTCTGGACCCGGAGTCTGACTTACTTCGTGCTGCCAGCCCTACTGTCAGACGTCTGCTCACTGCTGTTGTCACTAACCCTTCCTTTGAGTCTACAGCTGCGTCTGCCTTAGTTGCTGAGCTTGTCGACTTTGCTGCCCGCTGTTGTCTCGACTACGCTGTTAGTCTTGTTGCTAAGTCTGAGCCTGTTTGTCCTCTGTCCATTGGGGGTGAGTCTGCTCTTGGAACGAACGTCGTTGAGGATAGGGAGGAGGTCTTTGAGCTGTACCTCATCTCGTGTCCATGCTGATTGCACCTGAGGGAGACCCGGATGCACCAGACATCCCGACCCCGCGCTCTTACGCAGAGGCGATAGAGGGTCCCTATTCCTCTCAGTGGAAGTCAGCCATGGACGTAGAGATGGCATCCTGGATGTCCACAGGCACCTACGTCGACGAGGTTTCCCCACCTGGGGCGAACATTGTCAGTGGCATGTGGATTTTCAGGGGGAAGGGGCCACCGGGTTCTCCGCTAATCTTCAAGGCTCGTTTGCACGACACTTCTGTTAGCGACATGGAGTTGACTTCTTCCAGACCTTCTCCCCTACCCCGGAGATGACCACTCTTCGGGTGCTGCTGCACGTCGCTGCTCAACGTGACTACGAGCTTCACTCTCTTGGCTGCGCTGGCCACCTGGCTTCAATGGGTCGTTTCCTGCAGGTACCCAGCGGAGCCTCCGGCGGCCAGTCTACGGTCTCTGCCAGGCGCCTCACAAGTGGCACGAAACACTGAGGACGACGCTTGCGGCTCATGGGTTTGCTCCTTTGAATGCTAACACTGAGGCACTCGCCCACGCGAATTTGGAGCCGCAGAAGAGACACACGTGCACAGACCTGGGAGAACTGCGCAGCTATCTTGGCTTGCAGATCACATGGGACAGTGCACGGTGCACCATTACCCTGACTCAGTCACACATGGTGCACCAGGTCCTTCAGCGCTTCGATTTCTAGTACTCCTCACCACAGGCCACTCCTCTGCCTACCGGTCACTCACTCTCGGTTGTGCCTTCGGATGAGTCTGTAGAGCCGAGTGGCCCGTATCCAGAGCTTGTTGGCTGCCTCATGTGCCTGATGACCTGCAATAGACCTGACCTTGCTTCACTTTTTAGCATCCTGGCACGCTACATTGCACCCAGGAGACATTGACCAAAGCACAGGGAGGCCGCAAAGAGGGTGTTGCGCTACTTGTGTAGTACGTTGGGTATGGGGCTCATGCTTGGAGGATGGGCTGGAGTTGTCCTCACTGATCATGCAGACGCTTCTTGGGTTGACAACTTGGCTACGCAGCGGTTGTCACAGGGTTAAACCTTGAGCCTTGGCTCCGGCTCTGTCTCGTGGCAGTCCACCCGCTTGTTGTCTGTTCTGAGC